TTTTGGTACCTTTATTTTCAAGAATGTGTAGATCAGAGCTGCCCAAATTGTGGGCACTTTTTGGCACCTTTATTTTCAAGAATGTGTATATTAGAGCTGTCCAAATTGTGGCCCGCAGGCCAAAGTTGGCCTGTGAGGATGTTTGATTTGACCCAACAAAAAGTTACCCTAACCCCACCCCTCATCCAAAGACAGAATAAACATATATATTTATACACTACAGCCCCTGGATAAATAATGTTTTTGTTGATTTTCTAAGTGATAATAAGTACACATCATCTACAGAGAAAACAGTTCTGCATATTTTATATTCTGCACAGTTACTGTATTTTTGCTGAATTTAACATACTGGGAAAAAATAAAACATAAAATGTGGCCTGTGCAAAAGTTATTTTAGATTTTATGTTTTTTGTTTTGTTCTTTGTTTGTTTTGTTTTTGTTTTTTGTTCAATATATTGAGCTCAGCAAATAAACAGTAACTACACTAAAATGTGCAAATACTCTATATAAGGATGTTCTCTATAGAGGATGGGTTAACTTATTTTCGCCTTGAAGATCAACAAAATTTGTTATTTGACCAAGGTGTTCACACTTTCGCATACAACTGTGTATACCTTATTACGTTCTTATTTTATGCTTCTTCTTCATGCTTAAAAATGGTTCCTCAAGGGTTATTTACTAAATTCAGTGGTTATGTATAGAATCATTTGAATGCATAAATGGTTATTTGCATGTTAGCTGGTTCTTCCCTATGATGGAAAACCTGTTATATATGGTTATTAAAACTAACAATTAAAAAATCTTTCTGTTTAGCAAAAAAACGGTTCTGCTTGTTAAGTCATATAAACATTTTTGGTACTATATAGGACCCTTTTTTGTATGACTCCATGCTCCCAAGAACCCTATTTGGCATCTTGGGTTAGCTTGGGTTGTTCACCTTTTCCATCTATTCAAAGTGAGGTTTTAAAGATCAGCGGACCGTGACATATCATAAGACACTGCTTGACGTCATATCTAAAGCAAACACCTTTAAAGCCTTTTATCACTGGCAGCTATAATGACCATTAGTGTTGCTGTATTTACTGACCACACATCTTCCCACATCAATTAGTGTTTGCATTCTTGGTGTAAGAATGGATCTGTGTGTGAAATGCATAAGTGATGGCTGAGCATGTCACCTGCTGCCCACTCCCCTTGGGCAGACCAGCTCATGCAGCATAATGATGTTTCATTTATTCTGCAGTCTGATCAGAATTGGCTGGAGTTGGGCTTAAGACCAGGGGTTAGAGATGCTCCACACTTATTTCTCCATCCAGAGGAGAAGAGGAGGCAGATTTTTATTTCCATTTATTTCCATTTTCCTCAGAAAAATAAAATCAGCTCAGCATCATTTGCATTCAACTTCTATTGGTGTGAAAGAGGGCGTTTTCGGGAATGATAAGAGCAGGGTTTGTGTGTGCGCAGCTTGGCTGGGGGTTGTGTGAGGTGTGTGTGCCTGGGAGAGAGCATTTGTTGTGTGTATTAGAAAAGTGTTGATGGTAACTGTGTTGAGGGGATGAGAATATGTTGTGTGTGTGTGTGTGTGTGTGTGTGTGCGTGCCACAAAAGTGTATCTCCCTCTTTTCCTGATGGTGTATGAGTATGAGTGTGTATGGGGGAGTTGCTGCTTAATATCAGACCAAATAATTAGATTGGCTATCGTCTGGGCGGCAGCAGTGCGGGGATCAGGCAGATTAAAGCCCGGCCGCTGGGATTAATATTCATGAGGGACGGGGGCTCGGACGAGGGGGCTTAGACTGCACCTCAAAGACTCACATTGAGGAGCTTAAAGCAGAGCTCTCAAAGCGCCCTGGCCCCAGAGAGAGAGAGAGACGGAGAGAAAGTGTGTGTGGGAGAGAGAGAAAGGGGGAGAGAGACACAGAGAGAGATTGCCAGGCAAAGAGTAAAAGGCTGAAGCTGGATGCCAAATTGTTCCCATCCTCAGCCCAGCCCACCTTTATATTAACTTGCATTGCCACCCTTTGCATCCAATTTCAAGTCCAACACAACTGCCAACAGAAATATATGACTATACAGTACATTGCAAAATCCAGAGACAGACCTTTCATTTATTCTATTTCCAGTTAAGTTATTAATTTCTCAGCATCAGAAAAAAGCAGAAAACTTATATTACAGAAAACTTATAACTTATAGCTAAATATATTTTCTTTTCTTTTTTCCAGTATTTGTTGTGTCCACCCTTTGCCTTTATTACAGCTTCCATTCTTTTGGGGAGACTTGTAAGGCTTGAAATCTGCAGGGGTATTTTTACACCTCCAAAGTTCAGTCTTAGAAGTTGGTTGCATTTTCTGCTTATCATGATTCAAATGATGCAAAACTCATTAAGTGATGTTAAGGTCTGAACTCTGAATGGGGTGGTCACTCCATTGTTCTGAGAACACCAGCAGCTTCTTTGTTTATATGCAACTGTTCTCCTTAGCATTGGGTTGTTTTTTTACAGTGGATGGGACGGAAACACCTGTGATATGAGGAAAGAGTGGAGCTTGATCTCTCAAAGATGAAAGCTTTATGTACTGGTTTGTCTGATGGTGACAGTTTTGATATGAACCTCGTTTATTAATAACTCCAGTTTTGGAATTTTTTTTCCTTTCTTACGCAAGTTGATTATCTTATATCTAATCTTCACAGAAATAACTTGTACCTAATGACGACTTTGGAAAATAAATGAAGGGTGGTCTCCGATTTTTTTTGTTGCACAGTACTGTTTATAAATACAATTGGAGGATGACAGTAGAAAATTAGTCTATATAGTCCTGTATATAGCTCATCATTACTGATTAAGCAAATTATATTTACTCTCTTCAATTGCACCAACATAGGAACAAATAAAAAATAAAATCAAGCTGTTTGTCAGTCTATAGCTAATCGATTCTTTCAACAAATTCTATCTACTCTTTTTAGTGTTTGATTGCAGTGATCCACAGCAACAGAGCAACTGGTCATTTGAGCTGTAGCATGAAATGTTTAGGGTGCTCTTTTTTGAGCATACCTATAATCTATCCATCAGGATGAAATTTGCATAAAAGCGTAATGTTCCAGGTCAACACCCTGACTTACCTTAATACCTCTAGGTAGTGCTTACCACTGGGCCTCATCTATAGCAGTTATCTCTCTTGTCCTACCTTGAACCATTACTATTAAATAAAAAAGATGAGTCTTAAAAGTTCCCTCAGTCTATCCAATCCATTTGTAAACTCACTCATAGCTTTAGTGTCCTGTTCCAGTGGTCACTTTGACCCTTAGTGGCATTCAGTAAATGTTGGTCACTCAGACCTTCTGTTTTGAAGTGGTGTTTGTTTAGATCCTTATCATTTTGGCTTGTTCCTCACAGGTTTGTCCTTTTACTATATTTGTGCCTTCCATAATAGTCAGATCCATTAAACTAGAAAATGTTTGTCCTCCTTGTACACAGCTTTCCTGCTAAGTGTATGTGTGTGTGTGTGTGTGTGTGTGAGAGATTGTGTATGAGTGAATGTGTTTAATCTGTGAGCGGGTATGTCTTTGCGTGTTCAGTCAAAAGGGGCGGCTGACCATGCTGCCCTCTCCTTTTGTGCGGCCCAAAGTCGAGTCGTGTTAAATGAGTCTGAAACAAATTAGCAGAAGCACGCAGCACTTATGGCACAGACGGCTCCGGCATTGGGTTTCAAATTAAAACAAAAGGAGCCCTATCTTCTTATCAGCGCTAGTTCCCCATGAAATACAATACGGACCGTATCTTCAGGCAAGAACAGTCAGAATTAGAAAGAAACCCTTCAGCTGTCCTCCATGGCTGCCCGTCTCATCTCCCTGGCCCTGACTCCCGGTGGCTTTTATCAACTTCTTCTATGCTGAACAGACGTCTTTCATATTCTCCAGTCTTTAAAGTTGATTTGGTAGCATGACGGGGATATGTGGACCAGTGCATCCCCCGGGGCCACCGCTTAGCTGGGGTGTGTGTAACACTGGGAGTAAGTGTGGCACTCCTGAGACTGTGGCAAGAGTGGCCCTGTGGAGGTGGTGCCACCTAGTGGAGTGGACTGGTATTATTTTTTTGCACGTCTGGTGTGAAGTTGTAACACCAGCCGTGCAGGTGGGGCAATTAACAAAATTTATCACAAAATTATATATTTAAAATAATTTTAACATAGTACAGGCAATTTAAACTGTAAATCACGCATGACAATTGTTGTTTTGCATAAAAACAATACTTCAGCATCTGTGAAACCATCGTGGATGATCCGGTAAATGTCTGTTAGCTGGAATGGTGATTTTGATAGAATCAGGTCATACAGAGAGAGACGAGAGTATACGTAAGTTTATATATTATGATAAGACGGTGGAATGACAGACAGGTGGAATGCTTGCAGAGCTTAGAACAAAGAGAAGATTGTGTGGAACAGCCCAGGTGTGTTTGTCCTAATATTCTCTGGTAACCACAGATCTGCCACATATGCAGACACACACACACAAATGGACAGCACACAAAAAACGCACACACACCTTTGTCTATTTAGGTCAGATCAAGATGAATTAGAGTGAATTGGAGCCACCGCCGTCTTGATGTATCTCCTTTCTCCACCATTCTGCTGCTCTCTCTGGGGTTGTTTCATGTCTTTCAATTCCTTGATTTCTTCCTTTTTCTCTCCATTGTTCCTGCCTAGGGGCAATCCCCTGAGCCCTTCTGCAATTGTCCCTGTTATGAGATCTCCCTTTAAATGGATTCCCATGATGTATCTAGTAGAGCCACTGTGGTCTACAGCCTTACTGTTCGCTCAAAGTCATGGCTTTAACCATAAAGGAGAGATGGGTGCACTTCTGAAGTTGAAAATCTAGTGAAAATCTAGGCATTTTAAATGGTGTTTGTGACAGGTTTGCTACACTCACTTAGTTGAGAACTTAAAACCAACGAAGGCTAACAAATTTCTTCCTCTCTTTGAATGCATGTTTGTGTGTGTATGAAGAGCCCTGCGCTGACTCTCATGTGTGAGGACGCTGACTGCTGGCTTACTAGGATTCCTGTGACCTCATCTTCTTCAGAGGCAAACTGCACAATTTACAGTAAAGGTACTGTAGACATTACAACTGACTTCACGTGACTCACTGTTAACACTGTGAACGTCTGTACTGTTTACAATGGTCATCAACAACAACGTTTACATTAACATCAACGTCCCATTCAGCAATATCTGTAAATGGCAGGCTAGACTTTATACTGCAACAAAGGAGGCCTTCAGACATTAACAGCACTATGGATTGGTTTCCCAGATAAGTGCCAAGCCTACATTTTCCTTTCAGTGGAGAATCTCCATTCAAAATCCTGTATAGTCCAGACTAGACATAATCCCTGTCAAGAAAACACCCTGTAAGTCTCAGCTTACTGTAAAATAGAACAAGAACCACACCGTGTATAAGATTCTTTAAAAAAAATTCAAAAGGAAAATATGAATTTAAGAAGTTATATACAGTTAAAAAGGTTAAATACATTTTACTACTTTGGGCAGCCTTACTGTAAACTCTAGAAGATAAAAAGTCTGGGGAAGCTGTTGCTGTGTTTCAGCAGCCCCTAATTTGGACTTTAAAGATTATATCTATAACAATAAATTCCTACAGGTCAACTTCACCTGTTAGCGTTTGTCTTAAACTGTTTCACCATTTAGTTTGTTTTCAACTGTGTTTCAGCTATGGGTTAGACAACGAAAAGCAGATGATGTAAGTTCTGATGTGAGAAGTGAATTCTGATCATTGCCTAAAATAATTGGCTGTTGTTGTCTTTTCAGGTGATGAGGTGTTCTGTAAGCTCACTCAGGAGCTCTGCAGTGGAGAAGCTTTAATGGCCACACTGTCCTGGCCCGTCATGGAGCGGCAGTCCACCACACAAACTGATAACACACCAGTGAAGGAGGAGCCTGCATACCCAGCAGCTCTGCCCTCAGAAATCCAGCTTCTCCCACAGCAGGCTGGAATGGCCGCCATCTTGGCAACCGCCGTTGTTAACAGTGAGTCACGTCTTACTGACGCTAACAAACAAATGTAATACTCTCTACGTGTGTGTGTTTGTGTGCATGTGTCTCTTTATTATTCCAATTTCAGGATGCAGAATAACATGTCCCTTCAGTTTCCTTTACTTTGTTATTTTGAGCCACATTTGTATTTCATTTACATTAACTATTTACATAAACAGTTAACTTGTCTAGACTCACAGTCCTTCGTCTCAGCAAAAACATGGATTCATCCATTAAATTTCCAGTCATTCAGCTTGTCATTGAAGACATGTCACCAGCAGGTGGCAGTGTTGTCTTGGCTGAGACTGTGCGCAAGTGAGACACAGTTAATTGGTTAGAAGTACAACACAGAGCTCTCTCTGTCGCGCTGTCTCTCTCGCTCTCTCTCTCACTGCTATCGGCTGAGCTGTGTCAGGACTGGAAGCAGACACAGTCATGCCGTGATGAGTGCATGATTAATCACAGTAAATCAAGCTAAAGGGTAAATCATGATCAGCCTTATTCTTCAGTTCCTGTGGCATTAGCCATGTTGTGAGGAGACAGGTAATTAGGGAGCAGTATGGTCGTTATCAAATACAGCCTGTTCAACATGCCCTGACACCAGATCAGCCCGATTACATGCATACAACCTTCTTGAGCCCGTTGCCTTGGAGATAATGTCGACACGGTTGTTCTGATATGTATAATGTGTCAGTATAGGTATCATACATTGTGTGTAAGGTTATGTACATGAGATCTATAAAGTGGCTATAAGATGATGTGTACTGAAGTTCTGGATGTTATATTGAGGCTGGAAAGACATATATGTACAACATCCTCATATATGTTTGATTTCTTTTCATTTTGGACTGTGCACAAATATTGGATTTGCTCATTTCCTTTGTTGGTATGTTGTTCCAGAGGACATTTTCCCATGCAAAGACTGTGGGATCTGGTACAGGAGTGAGAGGAACCTGCAAGCGCATCTCATGTACTACTGTGCAAGCCGACAAAAGCAGAAGGCCACTGCGTCCCCTCCACAGGAGAAGCCCAAAGACTCCTACCCCAACGAGAGGGTTTGTCCCTTCCCTCAGTGCAAGAAGAGCTGCCCTAGTGCCAGTTCTCTGGAGATCCATATGAGGACACACAGTGGTAAGCTGCAACTTCTCTTTCATTGTCACTCCACCATCCCTTCTCTCACCATCCCTTTTGTCTCTCCCTTCTCTAGTCTTTTTGATTAAAACTTATTAAATACTATTGTTTTCACCTTATTGCCATTTAGCCTAACAAATGTTTGCACTAAGTGTTTCTGAATGCCCACCTTGCATGCAGTTTTTGACTCTTGCCTATGTGTCTGTCCTCCAGGTGAGCGTCCGTTCGTGTGCTTGATTTGCCTATCTGCATTCACCACCAAGGCTAACTGTGAGCGCCACCTTAAGGTGCACACTGACACACTAAATGGTGTGTGCCATGGCTGCGGATTCGTCTCCACAACACGGGACATCCTCTACAGCCACCTGGTCACCAGTCACATGGTGTGTCAACCTGGCTCCCGCAGCGAAGTCTACTCCCCTAAACTGCCGCTGGCCTCAGGTAAGCTGTCATACTCATTTAGTCCAGTGGTTCCAAAACGTGTTCCTGGACTACCCCGTCCTACATATTTTCACATTTTCCCTGCCATATTACACGCACTTCAAATGAGAAAAGCCTTCATAAAAATTATTATTTCAGTCAGGTGTGTTGGAGCAGAGAAAACAAAACAGAATATACAGGGTCAGGATAATCCAGGAGAACCACTGAATTAGCCTATTTCAGTTTATTCTCAACCTTAACTGAGAAGTAGACAGACACTAAACTCAGACCAGTATCATTCTAGAATTTTAATTTTGATTTAAACAAATCAACTGCATCTACCCTCTTAATAGTGAGGTCTCTAGTTTTTAAAACAAGATTAGCAGATTTTTTTGTATAGGTTGTTTAGGTTTCAGTCAAGACATATTTGGTGTGCAAATTTTGCTTTTTAACTTGGCACTGGAGCTACTAGGCTAACATTGCTAACACTAGAAGTCAATAGTTACTCAAATCTTTTCTGAAAATACATTCTCCAAATTTCTCTCAATCTACTTAAACCACTTCAAACTGTCTGTGTGACCTTGATGAATGATATGGTTTGAGAGAATTTTGGGGTATGAAAAACATTTGGATGACTGAGTACTGAGTTCTATTTCTATTCTAGCATTTATTAGCAACATTAGCCTCATAGTTCTAGCACTAAACTAAAGAAGTGATATTTGGACACCAAACATGTTTTGGCTAATCAGCTACATCTGGGGTAAGTGGAACATTCTGTCAATGAATTTTTTCACCGAACCATTCTTTTGAGGTAATTAATACTACTGCTGCATCAGATTCACAGTTCTGACTCTCTATTTTCATTGCCCTTCTTCCTTTTCTTCCTTCCAGCAGGCTTGAGCCCTGGAGACTCTGGCATATTATTAAAGTGTCAGGTGTGTGGCTTTTCGGCAGACACCCCTGCCCTGCTTCAGCAGCACGTCCACACCCACCTAGAGGTCAGGGTACCTGCTGAAAGGAGTCCCACACCTCGCCAGAGCAGTCCTCCTACATCAGAGCTCCCAGAGCCCCAGGACCGAGAGCCAGCAGCCAGCGTGCCCAGGCCAGACTCCTCCAGCCCTGGGGCCAACGGTGGCTCAGCTACCTCCCTCGGCTGTAGCCCTCCAGACCAGCTGAAGATCAAAGAGGAGCCATGCTCTGACTCTGAAAGCGAAGCAAGGGGTGGAGAGCAGGATGGTAATCACTGTGCAAACACTGTGGAGCGAAGCTCTCCTCATCCTACCTCACCTAAGAGCCCCTCATCTATTGCAGTGAAGGCAGAGCCAGCCAGTCCCACTCCAGGCTCTAGCCCTGTCCATGTAGGAGCAGGGGGATCCATGTTACCTGGCGGGGCTGTGTTTCTGCCACAGTACCTCTTCAGCCCTGAGGCTGCCATAATGCCCCAGGCATCTGAAATCCTGGCCAAGATGTCAGAAATGGTTCACAGCAGGCTGAAGCAGGGTCAAGGCCCTGCAACTGGACAGCAAGGCTTCTACCCTGCAGGCTCTCCGGCCAGCGTCCACAAGGGGGCGACATGCTTTGAGTGCGACATCACCTTCAACAACATCAACAACTATTATGCTCACAAGAGACTCTACTGCTCCAGCAGGCACCCGCAGGGGGAAGTGGCAGGCCTTGCAAAGGATAGCCCAGTGACCACAGCTCCCCATTCAAGTCATGATGCCTCTCCACAGGCTAGACCAGGTAGTCGCGCAGCCTCAGCTTCTCCAAACTACTCTGACTCAGCAGCAGCTGGCCCAGCAACTGAGGCGAAGCCGACCGAGGTTAAGAGCGAGACTCCAGGGCTGAAGGACACAGCCTGTTCATCTTCATCTGAGGGCGAAGGCGGTGTAGGGGGCAGGGCAAGTGAGGGCAGCCAAAGTCCGAGCGGCTCTGCTGAAGATCTGGATGAGGATCCCACTCGTACTTTCTGTAAAGCTTGCAACATCCGCTTTAGCAGGCACGAGAACTACATTGTGCATAAGCGTTTCTACTGTGCCTCACGCCATGACCCTTCTAACCACCGGGCCCAGGTTGGAAAGGCTGCCTTTCTGCCACAACCTATCCGCACACGCAAGCGCAAGAAGATGTACGAGATCCATATGGCACGAAATGAGGCGCTGGCCACTGCTGCCGCCCTCTCTGCAGCGCAAGGGATATCAGTAAAACAGGAGGGTGCCAGCACCCCCCCCGGGCCATCTATGGCTTTGGTGTCCACCTCTGCTCGCAGTTCTAGCCCAGAAGGTGATGGCCCCATTGACCTGAGCAAGAAACCTCGCCTGCGAGAGACCCCAAGAGGGAGTAGCATCACAGCATTGCCCCTCACGGATTACCACAAGTGTACAGCTTGCAGCATCACTTTTAATAGCATTGAGAATTACTTGGCCCACAAGACGTACTACTGCCCAGCCACCAGCTTACAACCCCACACCCTGGAGCAGCTGCACCGCATAAAGAGACCTGCCTCCACTTCACCCAAGAACCGAGCTCCTGACCTGCATCCTGACACCAAGGCCCAACAAACCGGGAAGCCTACAGTGGTCCCTCATGCCTCTGTTTCACCTAGCGTAGAGTCTAGTCCTCATTCTGTATCTGGTGTGAAGGCTCCCAGTACTTCCCCCGTGGTTTGTCCTTACTGCCCTCCTAACCGGGCAGTGACCTCTGACCTGATGGAGCATTTCAGGACGGCTCATGGCCTGGTCCTCGCCTTGCAGCAGCAATCTGAGGCCCAGCCAGCTGGCACTAGTCCCAGCCACAGCCTTAGTCCTCGTGATGGAGCCCCACTAACCCCTCCCAAACCAAGCCCCAGGCCCAGGAAGGACAGTGTAAATGGTCGGAGCAGGAGGGACCCTTCCTCTCCCTCCTCACCGCTGCTTAACGGAAGTGCTGTTGGAGTCCATTCAGCAGGTACGGGATCTCCTAAAGCAGCTCCCCCTGCGCTCTCACCCACAGGCTCTATCCCTTTGACTGTGTCACCTGTGCCTGAAGGCTTGAGAGAGGTGGGGTCACATGGCCACACCCCCACTCCTTTGCTCCTCTCAGAAAACGTGCTAAGCCACACCCATGCAGCCCCAGGCACGCCCAAGGCAGCTGTTGCCACACCTTTGCAAAATGGGAACACTCGCTACTGCCGGCTGTGCAACATCAAATTCAGCAGCCTGTCCACCTTCATCGCACACAAAAAATACTACTGCTCCTCCCACAGTGCTGAACATGTCAAGTGAGCTTGCCTGTCATACCATTACCCTCAAATCTGCAAGTGCCAAGTGCTACGCCTACAAGTGGCATGGCCCCACCTGATCCAGACAGTGTATGAAAGTGGGACTGTTACTAACCAGGCACTGAGGTTGCCATGGCAGGCCTGCTGTTCCTGGTATTGTTACTATGGTAACTTATTGCTCATTATGGGTCAAGTTTGTATTACACTAAAAGATGAGACATGCTACCTGCACGCAGAAGTGTGCCCCACTGACCTATGCCCACTGCAACCCTCCTTGTTCACATTTGAGTTTAACCCACATATGATATGTACTAATGGGACACTAGATGTTGCTTTTTTCCCATCCATTAATTCACTTTCATAAGATTTGTTTTAATCACTCATGCATTTAATACTGATTTTGATTTTGTTCAATGGCAGTATTGTACATCTGTGACCCATTGTAGTTTTCCTGAGCCTTTAATATTTGTGAGCAGTCACTGATTTGGGGAAATTCTGCCCCCTAGTAGAGATGTGTAACTCATTAGGCCTCTCAATTTCATGATGTGCTAAGAGTTTCTTGTCCATACACTGAATCATCTTACATGAGAAAAAAACAGAGTAGCTCAATAGATACTTTGGTAAAGTTACCAGTTTGAGGTGGAAGATTTTGAAGAAGGGAAAATGTGAACTTATTTATCATTTGAGTCCTCACTTATTTCACTTCCACAGAATACTACCTACTGTCTTTATAAGAAAAAAAGATTTATATTTTTGTTTGAATTTTTTTTCATACTGTCCATAGCAACCATTTCAAGCTAAGTGTGTTGTATGTTCTTATTTCTTAAGCATAGATATGTGTCTTTTCACAGTAATCGTTGGGACACTGAGTACTCCTCTTCACAATTGTCAGCGTTGCTTTTGTCTGATTACTAAGTGTCGGTATAGTGCAAGAAAGAGTGCACAGTGTTCTTTCCCAGTATTTGCTCCATGCATCGGGTCAGAGGTTTAATGCAAGGTGGGTGAGAGCACCAGTCCAATAAGAATCTTTATGGAGGACTGTCTTAAGAGAGATGGGATAAGGGCTGAGAACAGATGAATTACCTTTACTCTCTCTGGTCACTACTCTCTGCCTCTAACCCACCTTCCCTGAAAACAGCAACATTCCCAGCCCTGTCGACCTGCTGATAAACTGCTGTCTGTACTGTGTTATAGACACCCTTTATTGTCAATGACAAATCTGGAGTGGTGTGTGACTTTAGGGCACCTTTTTTCACCCTTTTTTTAAATGAAGTTTAGCATGGTAAACATACATTGCAGATTTCTCTTGCAGACTGTAAAATGATGCTGAAAGCTACTGACATAGTGTGAAACTGCCTCACACATTTGCATTTCTTTTTATGGTGAGTCAGACTGGCATCCCAGTGCAAACCCCTCAATTCTTGCTCTCTCTGACTCGTTTCCTGTTCATCTGTAGGAGTATGTAATTTGGAAGGAGCAGCGTTGTGCAATCTTTCCTCCTTGAACAGGCTCCCTTGGCAAAGCCTTAATGAAGACTCAAGTCAGTATGTCTGAAAGAGCGTGTCACGTTCCAGAATACTCCCCCACCCAGTGTCACACGCCAAGTGGACCTCCTTTCCGTTACTAGTGGCGTTTCCCATTTCCAGTGTTACAAAAAACCACAGACCACAGACTCTGTGGCAAGAGCAGGCAAGATTCCTCTGTGCTGTCGTGGGTTTGAAAAGGTGCTGCACCAGTCATACTTCACACAGGACTGTTTACGATTCCTTTGTTTTCTTCATTGGCTAACAGTCATATTCATGAGACCAATGCTGAAAGACCATTTTTAACTTTCTGATTCCCCTTTTTATTGCACTGTGTTGTACAAAAATGCTGAATGTTTTAGTTTTAGAAGCTTTTTTTTGTATTGTATTTATGTTTTTACAGCACTTTTCTTTGTCCAAACGTACCCCTGAAGGACTTGCTGATGAAAACATTTTAACTCAACCTAAGGTTAAGATATTTTGTGAATAATTACAAATGTTGTTGGAAAAATTATGAATGTCAGATCTTTTTCCCTTCTTTAATTTTTTTTTTTTTTTTATTTCAATCTCTATGAAAAGTTCCACTACACAGTTGTACAAACTATGCATGGGAAAATAAAGAGTCCTGGAGGACATTTAAAGTGCAAAGCCCTGCCCACTTCTACTCTCTTAACTCAGCATGGACAGGGGTGCATTCAGTCGTAAACTTCAGATCCTTAATTAAATGAACAATTGTTTCCGCCAGAAATGATCTAACATGATTAAACTAAATTGTTTTGTCTCTTTTAATTGCTTCTTTTGTAATGTAAGTGTTTCATTTCTTCATTAACATTCATTCACTGTTCGCTTTATTGGGAACACCAACGGCAGGGGTGCACAACTCATACACGTTTGGTAGTTGCTCTACTCAAATGCACCCACTAAAACTGGCAAATAACTGATCAGTTGAATCAGGTGTTTGAGCAGGTAAATCACTGAACTGACACTTTGGGATCTCCCTACTTTGTAGGATACAGTGACACTGATATGGTGTTGATGTGCTGGTGCTATTAGACAGCACGTTGCCGTCATTTTTACATGTACCTGCTAGGTGGTCCACCACCAATATTGGGCGTAACATGGCCCCCACGACTGTGCAAAGTAACGCCATTACATTAATGTAATTACCATTTTCTGTAACAATGTAGTGTAGCATATTACATTTTAAATTTCTGTAATCACATTACAACAAATCATGCTAACATGAAGGCGAGACGCAATTTTCATTCAGAAACAGCTCTGTAAGCTTAACAGTTTATTCTTAAAGATTTTATTTCAAGCAAGTTGTTTATGGACAGTTTTGCTAGTTTCTAGGTATCAAAATTAGCATCAGCCATGTCTTGTTGTGATGCAGAAGTAGTGACAGGCCTTTTAAATCATGTATACTTTCCAGTTGGTACATATATGCATTGGTTTTAGAGAATAACATAGAAGCAAAGTAATAAGTAATAAGGTTACCTTTTTCCAAATAGTAATAAGTAATGTTACAGTTTGAGAGTAATAATTAGCATTTTGTGAAGGATTACTCTTTTTGAGAGACCCAAAATGCCAAAGATGATTCTGTTATCAGAAACTGACCACTGATAAATGTTCAAAGGATGACAAGCATGAACTATGCACACAAGAGATGAGCTATAATCTCCAACTTTACAACACTAGAGACCCATACAATTAGGAGTTTCCAATAAAGTGGCCAGTGAGCAGATACTGACGTCAGTTTGACCAGCTGTGCTTTACTGTTCGTGAGCCTTTTACCTCTGCATGGACAGTGCTCTTTCTTATTGAAGCTGAAGTGGGGCATAGGACTTTCACATTTGGACAGCAGTTTGCATTTTTGGAGGAGCCTACAGTGCTGCTCTGGTCCAGATCCCCTGCAGATGATTCATAAACCCGCAGTCCTGCGTATTTACCTTCACACTGTGGACATCTCACTTTCCTGAATGAGCATGTTTTGTTCACACTTTAAGTCTCATGGTGCATTTCCGTCAGCCCTCAAGCCTGCTTGATTTGTGAAAGCATTACTCAATCATCTCTCCCAATGCCGTCACACTCTTTCAGTGCACCCACTGAGTCCCGACTGCAATTACGAGAATAAAGCAAAGCTTTTTTTCCCTTAAGCTTCAAGGCCATTCCACCCCACTATTTAATAAGACGGTCGGATGCCTATACCTGTGGTTTTGTTTTTCAGGATAAGTTCACTATGACTGACTCCTCCAAAAGAAAGCAAAAAAATAAAGAAATTATGGATAATATGATTTTCTGCTTTCTTGCCAGCTCACATTAATTCAGGGCCATATATTTCATGGCTTTATTAAATGAGCCTCAAGAGAAGCCTCAGAACGCAGTGTCCTCTGCTGATGACGCTGTAAAAATGTTTCAGTTTTTCAGAGATGAGCCATGTAGCTGTACCTTTGTGTTCAAAATGAATAGCAAGTTTGTCACTTACATTAAAGGCAAACTCACCTTTCAGGTTTCATGGTCACGCATGAGTGAGATGAGATGGACAGAATCTGTCCCACTGATGAAATAAAAGGCGAGAAGTGGAAAGCCTTTGTATCTGTGGTGGTGCACAATTTGGCGATAAACAGTACAAGCAGGCTTTTAAATGTAATCCCAAAATGATGCATTTAGTTCAGTACTAAAAGTGTCATGGAAGGAAGCCAATACATTGTTTAAGGTCAGTCCATTTTGTTATTTGACCAGTGGGTTCTGAATGAATAAAAATGTATTCATTTTTAATGGAAGAAACTTCCATATCAACTTAAATATTCTATACTGTGCCACGATATGTGTCTCAACCCTCACAGCTAACATGTAAAGGACAAATTATCCAACAAAGCACTTAGCCATGTGAAGTATTTGTTAATTGCAATACATTGTTGGTCATTTCTAAGAAATCAGTTCTTTAGCTCTGAGAAACAGGCTTGTTTTTGTTTCCTAAATGCAATTATAACAACACACTGTCATTTCATAATAATTAACAACAAAATGCTCCATTAAGATTTTTGTTGTGTGTTTAATTTTTAGATTATTCAATAAGACTGCACTGAATTAGACTGGTAAAAAAATATATATATATGCACCCTAAATCTCACAGGCTTTCATTTTCATTCTGCTCCATAATTTTCATCAATGGCATACATTAACTTAATAGCAAGCATTTGTTCTTTATGAATATGGAAGAAAAGCATCTCCATCAATGAAAGCCCTCAAATTTGGGAGACACTATTTGTTATTTGGTTGTGCATTCCAGTTCTACTATAACCGACTACATAGCAACATCAGTGATGATTTCAAAAAGTTTTTGTTTTTTTATGCATCCTATATTTTAAACATTCTCACCAGCTGAAATATCAGAATGAGATAGAGAAGAGACTCAGTACTGGACTAACACCATACTGAATATGTGGAATGAAACTAAGGGAAGCTTTGTTAGATTAAGGATGTTCATTACTAGGCCAGCACTTAAAATCATAATCTTCAAAATAATATATCAGACACTCAGAATACTATAGATACTTGACAACAAAAAGCTATGTAATGGCTTTATCGATTTAGAGAGATAATGATCACTGTAAAATCAGAATTTATATTTGTTCATGGTCTCATGCTTTCGCTCTCTGCTCCTTGTGAGCATGATCGAGAAAGTTCAATACAAAAAGAAAGACATAGCCAATGTAATGGCGTAAATATAAAAGTTCTCCTAAAATTGTGGCTAGTACATAGGTTTAGGAATGGCTACAGACTCCACAATATGATATTATTGCAATGCTTTAGTCACAGTTCAATGTATTTAATGTATATATTGAATATATGATATAACTTTCCATATTTATCAAATGGTTTTAACCAAAGTAATCTACAGTGGCAGATGAAAATCATTTTAGTGTTACACAGTGACTCTTACTGGTATATATTATATAGAATTAATAAATAAATTATTGATACTTGAGCCACTGTGTATTGATGCTATTTTTAAACCAAAAATATCCCAACATTTTGCTGTAATGATGTTTTATTCCACCTTTTCTAGCACTTTTTAAAAAAAAAAACTGAAGTTTTTGGTAGTCTGATATGAAGGTCATCAAGTGTGCCTGAAGTCAGTCTAAATACTAATATTCCATTATCATGCAATATCGATGTATATATCAGCATATCGATGTATAGCACTTCTACTATATTTCAGAATAATGACTATTAAACTATGGGCAGCACAGTGGCCTCACAACAAGAAGGGCCTGGGTTTGATTCCCTAGCTGGGTGACCTGGGTCCTCCTTTCCGTGTGGAGTTTGCATGTTCTCGCTGTGTCTGCTGATGGGACATGCTTAATTACCCCTAGGTGTAAATGTGTGTGTGAATGTATATGTCTGTGTGTCTGCCCTGCAATGGACTGGCAGCCTATCCAGGGTGTTTCCGGCCTTCCGCTCAATGACTGCTGGGATAGGCTCCAGCTCCCCCACGATTGAGGAGGATAAGCAGCTTAGACTGTGTGTGTGACTATATTGGCTTTTAGATCATATTCTATAAATAAAATGTATTTGTTTATTTATTTACTTACTTGTGTGTGTGTTCCTGTGTTTTGTTGGTTGTTTGTGTTAGTATACGTGTGTTTGTGCCTTTCTAATGGTCGGTTTTGATCTCCGCTGACTCACTCTCCACTACTGACCCTTCAGTGGTGATGCTCTTTCACTCTCTTTCTCCACTTTGTTGGAGATGAGGTCAGTGACACGCTTGTATTTGAGTCTTCTCAACGACGGGCTCATGCCTTGTTCCTCTCCTTTCCATATTAACTTATAAACCTCAAAGAGCACCCTTTCACTCAGACTGTATTAAGTCTGCCTGTTCAGCAGTGAAGTGCAGGTTCTGGTATGAATGTATAATTATATGCAGCACAGATGAGGTGAAAAGCTCTGTACTACAGCAAAGGTGACGTTGGCATAGAGGGACTCTTTTTCAATGCTGTCTGCGCAGCTTTTGGTGTAGAACAAGCACTTATGCAGAAAGCAGACAAATTCAAGGAGTTCATGGACATTTTGAGAAAGACCCGATGTGGAACCGAGCAACTCTTTTCTGTGCTCATTACAGCTGGAGAGCTTTGAGGAGCTTGTTTGGAACTGATTGCTGGGAGTGAGAACTCTTCAGTACTGTAAAGGTGGGGATAGAGAGAGAGAGAAGCAGGCCTGGAGGGAGGTGGAGTGCTGCTGGTTATTATTTTCTGATAGTGAGGCCCACCAAGCTGCAGCTTCTCTAGATGAACACCAATCAGCTCCTCAGCAGCCGTTCTGTAGCAATCACACTGAGCAGTGCCTGATCATAGAGCAACACCAGCTAACTCCCCTTTAACTTATGGCTGTCCACTTCACTTCACAACATTCAACACCCTTCTCGTTGGAAGGCTGGTTTTCACAATGATGGCCAGAATCTCTCAATAAAGCACCAAACTACAACACAGAATTGAAACTTATGCCGGCACCTCTCTGTCTCTCTCTCTATTTCAGTTCAAGGAAGCTTTACTGGCATGACTGTTTCAAAAACAATGGGCCTCATTCCCTGAAATTTCTTTTTAAAACCCACAAAGATACTGTTCCTCAAATAACTACTTTTTACAACAGTGATGATCAGGAGCACCTTTGGAGTGTAGTAGAACGGGAGACTGACAATATGAATGTGCTTGAAAAATCTGCAGCGATTATGTAACAAAATCCTGTCAACAAGGACCCAAACCTCTAAGGAACATTTCCAGCACCTT